CAGAACAGCAGTGTACTTAATTAGATACCATGGAAACAAACTATGGCATGATCAGTAACCAAGGAAACTAACAATGAATGTGAAACAGACAAACAGGAACAGGGATAACCAAACTAAGGGCACGTTTACACGACAACGATATGCTTAAAATGGGGTAGCTTTTCCCTTGAAAAAAAACTTGCTGTATCCTGTTGCCAGGCCATTAGATGGCAATGAAACAGTATAGATTGGACATGATATACAGTATGCATGAGTAATGGAGGCCAGCTAGTAGTCGCTGTGCGAATAAACCTCACTCCTCGGATCTCAATAGGCGCTCTGCAGTCTTTAGGCTCCTTGTTAGAGCGCCTGACTCTCATGCAGGAGATCCGGGTTCGAGGCCCACTGTAACGATGAGGAGGCAAGGGGGAATCTAAATGCAAGCACAATAGTTTTAATAATGATAATAAACAAACAAAAGTGAAATCCCCGGAAAACAAAGAAACTAAAAACAAAACTGTCCAGGTGGGAGGTGGATCTGGGAGCGGGATGGAGGGCCAGGTCCGTGGCCAAAACTCAGAAACAACGCTACAGTGAAACATCGACCGACACCCAACAACTGAAACACAGGGGTTTAAATACACAGACAAACAAGCTAAACGAGGGAACAAGGGGGCGTGGTAAATCAGAAACACCTGGGGAAACTCATAAACAAGAAAAACTACAAAGGACTACAAAACATGGCACAGACACAGGAAATAACTAAAGTCCACACAAGACAATGAAAACACAAGACAGGAATCGTGAGAGCGGGGCGAGCAGGACCCCTAAAAAAATTAAAAATGACAAAATTAAAATGGAAAATTAAAAAAAAAATGGAAAATTAAAATGACAAACACACATCTTATAGACCCTTTTACACTTTACTAAGAAACAAATTATGAGCAACAAGGTCAAATAAACACAATAGAAGAAAGAGACATGAATCTATATCTAGTCTAGTTTTCAAGTAAGAAATACTCGCAGAAATTATATTGTGCATAATGGTTTATCCTGTCACCGACTCTGAATGAAGCCATCGATCTTGACGTCGTCAGAAAAAAAATAACTCTCAAGATTGAGACTTCAAAGTTCTGCAATTTTCCTGTATAAAGAAATACAGTATCATGTTGTAGCCTATATGTGACCACACATACATTTTATTTAATACAATACATTTATCATTTGGTTACTCTTTTATTGTCTATGTTCATCATTGTAATAGGGTTTCCTAAACTGGGGTTCGTGAGTTTAACTAAACTAAAACTAATTACTAAATTAAACTTATTACTAAAGTGCAAATTGAATGATTTTAAAATAAAACAGTCAAATATTTTATTTGTTTACTTGAATGTTCTGTAATGAGTAACTGAGATCAGAGAACTGAGAATATGCAAATGTGTTCTAAAAATAATTTAAATAACTTAAAATCTCAGGGGAACATGTAGCAACTCCTACGGTGAATATTTTTCATCAAAAGGCTTTAGCGGTCAAAACAGTTCGTTAATTCCTGCTTTACAACAATGGTTCATTACTGCCATTTACTGGGCAAGTTTTGTCACACTGCTGTGCTAATTGTTATTCCATCTAGTTGTAGGGATTTATTCTCAGATTATTCCCAGAATCTGCGAACTATTAGATGGTGCAAGGCACTGAGGCGAGGAGGACAGTTCAGTTACAGTTAAACCACATAAAGAGACCAATATGCTCAATGAAGACCAGGAGTCAAAGTTAAATTTAAATTTTAATCAGTTGAGTCTCCACACTTCCAAAGGCCGTAGATATACTAATTTAGGATACAGAAACACTGGCACTTATAGTCAAGTGGATAATCAGTAGATGTCATTTCTACAGCATCATTGTGACGTCCCAGATCTGGCCCACATCTGGCACATGTGGCAAGGGGATCTAGCCCACGAGCAGTGTGGAATGACGGCTCTTGGGTGACTCTCTCCTGTTTGCCAGATCTGGGCCACAAGCCGGCCATAGCAATGCCACATGTCAGCCAAGAGCAAAGAAATAATCCAGAACTGGACCTTATCTGAGCCACAAAATCTGTGTATGTTAAATATGGAGTCATCTCAGCCTTAATAAGCCTGTTCACAAGCAGAATCACTGAAGGAAAGAAGAGGACAGAAAAAGAGATGAGCAGAAACACAAGAACTACAACTGACTTCAGACACAGCCTTTATGGTCGAGATGAATTCAGGTGGTAGTTTTTGAGGGGGAGCGGTCAATTCTTCTACTGTCGAGAAAAGGACTCGAGCGTTATTTATGTTTTGATTGATAATGTGAGAAAAGAACAACTGTCTAGCTTAAGGAAGGGAGATAAGGAAGATATTTGAAAGAATGTTTTAATCAAACAGATCTAGTCAATGGGGAATGTACGGAGGCGTATTGCATTCACTTGAAGAAAAAAAATCTACTCTGTTTTTCTGAATTAACGAGTTAATTTTTCATGAGAAAAATTTTTTTTGCTCTGTTTTTCTGAATTAATGAGTTAATTTTTCATGAGAAAAATTTTTTTTGCTCTGTTTTTCTGAATTAATGAGTTAGTTTTTCTTGAGAAAAAAAGGTTTTGCTCTGTTTTCTGAATTAATGAGTTAATTTTTCATGAGAAAAAAAATTTGCTCTGTTTTTCTGAATTAACGAGTTAATTTTTCATGAGAAAAAAAATTTGCTCTGTTTTTCTGAATTAATGAGTTAATTTTTCATGAGAAAATTTATTTTTGCTGTTTTTCTGAATTAACTCATTAATTCAGAAAAACAGAGCAAAAAAAAAAATTCAGAAAAACAGAGCAAAAAATTTTTTTCTCATGAAAAATTAACTCGTTAATTCAGAAAAACAGAGTAGATTTTTTTTTCTTCAAGTAAATGCAATACGCTTCCGTAGGAATGAGATCTGTTTGATTAAAACATTCTTCCAAATATCTTCCTTTGTGTTCAGCAGAACAAATAAACACATAGAGGTTTGGAACAACATGAGGGTGAGTAAATACTGACAGAATTTTCATTTTGGGTCAACTAACCCTTTAACTGTTGAATTGATCTTATGCACAGCTCCATACTTCCTGAACTTCAGCCAGCTCCTTGTTTCCTGTCTGCCATTATTGGCCAAACTTGATTAATTCAGGTGTGTCTGATTATTGTTGCCGTGACTAGGTCAGGCACACCTGGATTAATCAATTTGGCCAATAATGACTGACAGGAAACAAAGGAGCTGGCTGAAGTTCAGGAAGTAGTGCATCTGTGCATAAGGTCAATTAAGCTTCCATGGAGCTTTCTGATTTTTATTAACCATCTTAAGTTTTAAAAATGGTGCTATATTATCCATAATATCTAACATTGGTGAATTAAAATGATCCATCAAATCATCTGCTGATTTAGATGTGCAGCTCAACAAAATTGGAGAAAAAAACTTGCTCAAAGAGAGCATTGGTGTGATCATTAATAACTATTTTTTTCTATCATCAGAGGTGTTGGAATTATGAGAAGATATGAAAACATCAAAGAAAATGCAGGAATGATCAGACGATGCTAAATCCTTTACAGTCACAGAAATATCAATACTGCTTGTTGTGATCACCAGATCAAGTGTGTGACCACCAAGGAAGTGTGTTTTTTCCTGTACATGTTGAGTTAGGTTAAATGTGTAAAGCAGTGAGAGTAGTTCACTGACATAATTAAGGTTAGGTTAGAGAAAAAGAGGAGCATGGGTGCATGTCTGTGAAAGTTTTTTTTTTTTTTTTTTCCCAAGGGGGATGTTTTATTGGAATTCCTTAATAAGTTATGTTAATTGGAAAAAAACATGGTTGATAACACATAATTTTTTTTTTTTATTGCAGAACTTATACAAAAAAAAAAAACCAACACAGGGAAGTAAGGCAAGGTCTACAAACAAACAAACAATATTACCTAACAGAAAATAAGCATCCTGGGTATGCATACATCAAATTATGTAAAACATAAAAAAAGAAAAGCATATATTTTTTTTTTTTTGTAAGTATTGAACATTTTCCAAATTAAACAAAACACAACACGGATTACAACCAAGAGAAGAAAAAAAAAAAAAAAAAAAAAAGGCATAAATGACACCAATCACATTTAACATAGGCCACTTTAAAGTTAAAAAACAAATAAAGGTACAAACAATCTCAGACACAATAAGTACTCACTCAAAAGGCATTTGTGTGGGGAAACCTTTCTGCAGAATAGTTGACAACTCAACCCCGAGATTATTTATATAGGGTTTCCAGATATTATAAAACTGGTCTGGCTGACCATTAACTACACAAGTTAAATATTCCAACGGAATAAGTTCCATTAAAATCTTGTGCCAACCCGATATAGTAGGAGTCTTGTCATTTATCCACCTCAGTAATATGTTTTTCCTAGCAGCAAAAGTAAGAAGATTATATAATCTTTTTTCTTTTGAAAGAATCAAAGCTTTATCAGGCAGACCCAGTATCAAAAATAAAGGATCCAATGTCAACTCCATATTAAAGACACTACTCATTTCAGAAACTATCTTGGCCCAATATATTTGTAACTGATTACAAGACCAAAGACAGTGAGTGAGTGTACCAACTTGTGTCTTACACTTAAGACATAAAGGTGAAAGGGAATTGTTGAGAAAAGCATAATTTAAGGCCAAGTCATGTCTTTGAATAAATCATCAAAATACATCAAAAATTGTTCACTTTTCTTGTTATTTATAAGTCTAAGGGACGAAATAAAAGAGTCAAAATCCATTTTTGCTTATGGATGAAGAATTTTGCATTCAAGATAAAGAAGTTAACAACATACTCAAGGGAAAGCAACTTTGGATTTTCATAATAAAAAATAACCTCTTTGAGAGTGAAGGTGTGGGTCGTATTTGTAGGACTAAGAACAAAAGAACTTTAATGTCTGTGAAAGTCACTCAGCATCCAGGGCTTCTATGACGAGCAGCGCGCGCGGGCGTGAGTGATGACGAGCGCAGTCAGTGAGCGAGCGAGCAGCCAGCGCGCGCGCGGACATCATCATCTGCACATCCAATGGAGCCGTGCGGACTCTCATCAAACCCCAGGGCTTTCATCACATGCATCATCACTCATATGACCTGTAGGGATGGACGACGATCTGGTGTGTGAATATGACTCCACCTGGGACACGGAGAGCGACGGGGACGAGCTGGAAAACACCGGCCGCAGCAAGAAAACACGGCCCGCATTCGTATGTTGCTCTCTCTATCTCTCTCTCTCTCACACACACACCTACACACACTCATCATCTGTGAACCACTGCACTGTGCCACTGTTTTATTCTATATTGTCCATTGCGCCAATAGGTTTTATTGGCGGTGTGTATATCTGTGTGTTGACGCACCCGCGCCGAAACCTCCACGCGCATCTTTTCCTCTGAAACGAGCTCTAGCGGAAGTGTCTACATTAACCATTTTGATCGGTTATTTATTTTCCAGTGGGTTTAATTTTATTGTTTGCGTGTGTTTTGCAGAATAGCATGTTGGCTAGTTATTTAACGTAGGCTGTGCTGACCGGAAGTACGTCACTCGCCGCCGATCTGCACGTCATCTGCTGGGCCGCAAAGATAAATTTTTTTTTGGCTGATTTTATGTTGTATATTGAATCTCTTAAATGTATTGATAATAAGAAATGCTCGGACACAATTGTATTTGCTAAAGAATTGAAAATAATTGAACAGTGAAGAATTATATGTTTCTCTTCTTTCCTCAATACTGTCTTGGATTGTAATTTCTCGTAGCTATTATATTTATAAATAGTTAAATTTAGCCCTTATATTTATTTATTTTATTTTTATTTATTTTTAGTCTCTTGTTCATTTATGTTAAACTATTTTTGGAAAATCTTGGATTGTTGTCTTTTTGGATGTCATGTTATTGTTTGTATAATGTATAATAAAAAAAATAAAAAAAAAAGCACCCAAAAAAAATAAATAAAAAAAAAGTCGCGTTAAAGATCTTCAATCTTTCAAAAGCACACTGACTGTTATCACACACACGCGCAAAAATGCTAAATATTCTAGTTATTTTTTTTTGCATCTAATAGGCTAAAATCATTTACTGGTTTATTCGATGGTATCTTAATCTTGTGCTCCTGATTTTTAATTTTGTCTGTATTTAACAAATGACCAATTGCGGTCTTGTGCTTCAGTGCATTCACAATCAGCTCAACTTAAGAGCTTTGAGAATAAATAGCTCTTTTGTGTCATAAAAGCACGTTTCATATTTCCATAAAACTAAATGGAGCTGAGGGCTGTTCCATAACTCAGGCTTATTTTGGTTAGTCAGACTTATTGTGGGTGAAGCAAACTTGAAATAGTTAAAACTCGGTTACTCATGCACTACTTTAAATGTCATTATTGAAATAAATGAACGTAATTTAATTTGTAACATTATTTTTAGGGGTCTAACCCGTATTGTTGGGTGTCTGCGATCTGTAATTGGAGTAAAAGATCCTAAACTGGTGCACGTCTGGGACCGTCCCAGCGTCCCCCATTCTGACTGATCCTGCCAAACACAGAGACCGTCCTAATGACACTCATGCATGCGGACCCAGGACTTCTTCCCATAAAACTCGTAAATCTGCAACCGTTTGATCATGGAAAGAAAGTGAAATTTGATGTGCATCTATCTTCTATAGGCAAAGTGTGAATCAAGCTATAAAAATAATTTGTACAAACCAAGAAAAAAAGCTTCCAGTGACCAAATTCATTTCCAGCCGCTATTAGCTTAATTGAATCATTCAGAACAGATATTTTTAGGTGGCCTATATCTAGTAAGCTGGAAGACAACAGGACACATGCGTGAGCACGAGGACTCCTGTGAAGGTTCTGCGTCCGTCTGAAGTCGGCCAGTGTCCCTTATGGCAGTGTTAGAGAAGATTCAGGACTGTTGACCTTCACATGCGTTATATTTGGAAAGAGACACGTCGCAATTGTACACCGAAGCTGCTTACGACTGTATTTTATTCCATTCACTACTTTCAGTGTTTATTTTATTTAATACGTCTAATGCACGGGATGTGAACAGATGAGCTTCAGTTTAAAGTTGAAGTTTGATTGGCTACAGGGATGGCCATAATAATAACCACATTTTGATTAATATTGATGAATGCGAGAGACTTGGATGGGGATGTTGGGATGCAGCCGATTAAGGGAGCTGAGACTAATGTTTGTCCTGGTGTGTTCGCAGTGGTCCAACTCCTCCTCCAGAAACCTCAGAGCCGCCAAGGACATGCAGAACTACAGACACGGATATCCAGTAAGACTCCACCAAACACACTTTACATTCACGAGACTGACCCGATGATGCGAGCATCTTTCCTCCTCTCTCTGTAGAATATCAATGAAGAGGAATGCCCAGAAGAACGAATGACCAATTTAAAGTTCTACCTAAATGAGATTAAGTCTTCGCCTGATGGTACGTCTCAGAGCTGCTAAAGCAATCCCAAAGCCAAGCTGTGCCGCTCTTCATCTGAGCTCTTGTGTTGTGCTTTAGATGTGTCGATCGAGGCGTTTCACACCGAGTGGAGGACGGATTACAAGAGACTGGAGAGAGTTCATTCCTACATTCAGTGGTAAGAAGCCCCTCTTGTTTAGCGGGGTTTGATGGGATCGGTACGGTGGCCCAGAAGTACAAATCTAAAAACAAAACAACAAATTAAAAGGGCAATGGAAAGACTAAAAACAAGTAGCAAGTCAGAAAACACAACGACAAGTCAGACAAAATGGAAAAGGGATATGTGGCGAATGGAATACTGACCACTGATTGGACGAGGCATCTTGCACTTCTGGGCCAGTGTAGATGTGTGACGTGTGCAGGTGAAGTGCTCTGTGAAAGTGAGTGTGTGTTGCTCGTAGGCTGTTTCCTCTGCGGGAGCCCGGCGTGAACTACATGGCAGCAGAGCTCACCAAGAAAGAGATCCAGGTGAGTGTTAAAGTGAACCGCTGATGCTCCAGACGCTGTGTGTGTGTGTGTGTGCTGGACTGTGTCTCGTGTCCGCAGGCGTTCAGGGAGAGCGAGGAAGCTAAGAGCCGTCTCCTGGATTCCTACGAGCTCATGCTTGGCTTCTACGGGCTGCAGCTGCTCAACAGAGACACGGGCGAGGTGAAGCGCGCCGACAACTGGAGGGAACGCTTCGCCAATCTCGAGAGGTGAGGATCCTGTCCCGAGACGGCCATGCTTCCTTTCTCAATGAGAACATGTTTGTTCCTGTAGTGTACAGATGAAATCTGCATTAGATCAGTTATCAGTCGCGAAGATATTGTCTCAGGTGTAGATTAGAGATTTTTTAACGTGACTATCAACAGCTTTGAGTGATATTTGTTTCATTGCTCGTGTTTGGAAGCATCACTGAATGAAATCCATCTTTACAATCCATCCTTAAAATACCATAGCCATATCAGGTTGCAACATATTTTTTAAACTTTTTTAATTAATACTAAACCAGTTTTGTCTTCAGTTTTTGTCTTTTCAGAAAGCAAAGTGACTGTCAGACAGAAGCAATTAAGTCGGCTCCAAATAAGAAATGAAATGACAGCAACAAACAAACATGCATTTGCTACAAAATAAATAATAATAGTTATATTTCAAGTGGGCTTATAAATATGTATAACGATGTATTAAAACCATCCAAGTACCTGATTTCTCTCTGTTTTTTTTTTTGATTGTCTTTATCTCACACATAACTGAAACACTGTAATATTTGCTTTCAGAAACATGCACAACAATCTGCGGATCACCCGGATCCTGAAGAGCCTGGGCGAGCTGGGCTTCGAGCATTTCCAGGCCCCTCTGGTGCGCTTTTTCCTCGAGGAGACGCTGGTCAGGAAGACCCTCAGCGGCGTGAAGCGCAGTGTGCTCGACTACTTCCTGTTCGCCGTGCGGGACAAGCGTGAGCGCAGGAAGCTGGTCCGCTTCGCCTTTCAGCACTTTGAGCCCAAAGACAAGTTCGTGTGGTGCCCCAGGAAAATCCAGAAACGCTTCAAGAAGAAGTCCGAGAAGCGGCAGAACTCTTTAGCTGGCGGCGGAGAGAGCGGCGCCACCGACGAAGGCCACTCACGGGCCAAACACAGGGATGGAGAAGACGCCAGCAAGCCAGTCGGAGACGTCACCGACGCGAAGAAGCAAGGCGACAGCGAGGGCTCACCAGAAGACCATGAGCCCGCTCTAGATGCCCCATCACCGCTCGCCTCCGACACCGGTGCGAACAACGGAGAGACTGTTCGTCTGGAGCCAAGCACTGGAGGAGGAACGCCTCCTGAAGTCACTGCGGAGAGAGCAGAAGAGGTCTCAAACACGCCGTGGGAGTGTGTCGCCGGATCCACTGCGGGCTCGAGCGACTGCGACGAGATGGACAGTCCAGCTGACTCGCAGAAGGAGCTGGAGGAAGGGCCGAGTCCGGACAGGACGGTGGCCGACAGCCCTCCACACCGCTCCCCGACCCCGCCGGAGAAGGACCGGAGAGAGCCGAGCGGCGCAGCCGGAGACCGCCGGAAGAATGCAGTGAACGGCGACCCGTCGAGTGGATCGGAGAAGGAAGAGCCCATGGATATTGTGGACGTGACTTCATGATGAGAACGCACTGAAAATGGACACTTTATAAACTCACTGTAAGATGAGATGATTTGTTGTTTTCTAAAGGGGGGTTATGTTGACTCAGCTACACCTGTCTTCTTACAGCTGGCTTATTGTTGCTTGAACTTTGACTTGTCCATGATTTCAGATTAATTTTTTTTCCCCAAGATTTGTTTTTTTACTGAAACTGTGAAAGAAGAATGTCATTTTTACATTCAACTAATAAACAACTATTGATAAATATTTCCATGGTGAATACATTTGGTTGGGACGCAGGTATGCTGTATTTCTGCTGGTGTTTGGTTGATTACTCTGGACTGCTTCCCGAAAGCACCGTTGATTCTAGAAACCACTGATGGCAGTTGTTCTACGACCAGTTTAGGCTTGTGGGAAACGCGGCCGTGAACTCTAACGAAGGGACTTGTGCTTTATTAAGCTAATGAAAATGCCCAAGATCAAACATGTTTGTTTTACATCTGCAGTGATGTAAAATAGACTCATTAATTACTAAATAATCAGACTTTGTATAGATCAGTTCCTTGGAGATTCTGTGTATGTTCAGCACATGCATTAACTCCCAACGTGACCTTAAATGAACCCTACATGAAATATTCTAGAATTAATAATGTTACTACTGTTCATATATTGCTCTTTTGATTTATCCTGTTTTCTGCACACATGATTATATGCTTTTTTAGAGTAATAATTAAAGTGTACTTTCATTTGGCTTCTACTTTCTGTATTTTATTAATAATAAGGGGTTGTGTAAATGTTCTGCTCTTTAAAACTGAGCACTAATCCTTTTCCAATTTAATAAGGTTTCAAATCTGTCAACTCTCCTGCGGCCAATCACGAGGAGAGGAGACACAACTGTGGTTAGAAGTGTTGTGAACATCATGCTCGTGATTTTGAAGGATCGCTGCCGCTTGGCTATTTCCCAGCGCTCACGTCTCTCGCTGAAATGAGGATTTGTTTCTCTCAGACATGTAAGTATAAGGTAGACTACATAATATGATGAATGCAGTTTCTATGTACAGTATGTAGACACAATATGGTTTTATGACTGAAATGAATGAAAATTTGTAAATATAGTCAACTCATTTTATAAAATATTATCTTCGTTTATTGAACATGCATGATTTTGATACGGTTCTTTAAAATTATGATAATGAATAATGTGGTATATGAATATATTTAGTGCCATGGTATAATCCAGGCACAGAAGCTGCATCTAAAGTGGGATTTACATTTATTTTCACAGGTGCCATGAATGCATTTACACTGGATTAAGGTTTTAAATATAACAGTTTTATTATGGAAACGTAATGGTTGAACAAAAAAAGGAATGATGCTTTTTCGAAGCAAGTGACTCCTTTGAGTTTATAATGCATACTCTCTTGAGTTGGAACTTATTTTAAAAGTACTTTGTAAGCACTAAAAATATGTTCTACCGTCATGTGAAAAAGAAAGTACCCCCTCTAAAAATGTAATGGTTTTACGTATCACTACATAATAATAATCATATGGTCTTTAGCAGGTCTTAAAATTAAATACAAGATGAACAATAACACATGACTATTTACCAAATATAAAGCCAAAACAGAGAAGCCTGTTGTGAAAAACTAAGTACACTCCATGATTCAATTGCTTGTAGTGCCAATGTCTCTAAGTAATCGTTTTCTGTATGACTTTATCATTGAGGAGGAATTTTGGCCCGCTGTTCTTTACACCGTTAATTCAGGGCTTATTCCAATCCAGAGAGAAGGTTATGTGACATATCCGGGTTCGTTAAAGGGTAAGTAAGCGGATAACCTCAACTTCCGGTTCCAAAAACGGAGGTATGTAATAGCCATAGCAACTTCTTTTTACGTCCCTGGACGCAGTTTATTTTATTTCTTGGTGTTGTGATGTGTATTGTGTGCAGTTCTCTCTCACTCTGTGCGGTGTTTAATTGGGCTCAGCTGCGGGAGGTTACGTTCAGGAGCAGGATCGCTTAAATGCTGGGAAAGACCTCGGTGTTGGTCACTGCCATTATCTCCTCCATCTTCTACCCCACACATCTAGAGCTCTATCCTACAGCCGGTGCAATGCAGTACCAGGCGTGACGCAAGTGTGTTTTGCTAGTTTCAGCCCAACGCAGTTTTCATTTTCACGTCCTGCGCAAAGTTGTTTAAATAGCCAATGCATTTGCGCCCATCTGTGTCCCATGGGCTGCTGGCCTGAGAACGAGTGTGTGTTCAGGAGCATTGCTATTCTGAGGAACTGAAATAGACTGAGCCGTTGACCAACTGGACCTGCTCTACAGTAGGGTTGACTTTGACTGGGCCAGTTCTTGGTGTAGATTTGCTGGTGTGCTTGGGATCATTGTACTGTTGAATGGCCCAGTTTTGGCAATTCGGACAGACGGCCTCACATTTGACTCTAGAATACATTGGCGTGCAGAAGAGTTCATGGTTGATTCAATGACTGAAGGTGATCAGGTCCTGTGGCTGCAAAACAAGACCAAATCATCAGCCCTCCATTATATTCCAGATAGAATAAAGGGTAGCATTTGGTGGGCTGTCTGAGAGGAGGGCTCCGAGCTATTTGAGGCATTTGGCCTGTACCCAGAGTTCTCGGCTGTGGGAGGAACAAGCCGAGAGTGAGGAGTCGGGGCGGTGGAGGGATGTAGGTGAGTAGACTGTGTATATATATAGGCTTCCTCTTGTGCTGATAGGATAGATATGGTAATTACTGATGAGGAGTTGATAGGATAGATCATTTGAAAGTAAAACACTTACAAATAAGTCTGATAGAGTAAATGGTGTGCATATTTGGTGGGCTGTCTAAGAGGAGGGTATTTGGGCCAAACTCAGAGTACTCCCCCCAAAATCTGCAAACTAATGTGTGACCGCAGCCAAAAACTTGCACAACCCGAAGCTGAAAGTGTGCCAATCGTAGGAAGGGGCTTAGTCGCTGGATCGGGTGGGCTTCTTGTGTCATCGGATGAGAGTTTGATGGTCGTGGCATCAGGAGGGTGAGCCTCACTGGTAGTCGGCTGTGGGAGGTTGCACACACATACACCAGCTTACACTACTTCAGATCGCAATTCTCGCGCATGCGTCGTGGAAATCTAAGGAAGTCTCGTTTCTGGCCTACAAGGAAGAAAAGAAATCGAATAAACTCGTTATTTTTGTTTGTTTTTTCGCACAAAAAGTATTCTCATCGCTTGATAAACATATAGTTGAGCCACGGTAGTCACTTGGGATATTTAAACATTTTCTTCATTGACTTTCTGGGCCGTCAAGAGGCAGTCCCTCAGGAGCCAATGTGGTAGTTATACAGCTCTCAAATTTAATCAAAAATATCTTCATTTGTGTTCCGAAGACGAACAAAGGTCTTACGGGGTTGGTACAGCATGTGAGTAATTAATGACTTATTTTTCATTTTTGGGTGAACTAACCCTTTAAAAGGACAAGAAGGATGGATTTTTTGCTTCAATGGATAGGGTAGGACTAGGTGAGGTAACTTATATTTATATTCTCTTGATTTCTGAGTTATTTTCTATAAATACACAGGTATGTAAGTGACCAAAAAGCCATTTTAAAGTAGTTAAAAAATCTGACCATTAAAATAAGTATATTTTTAAAACCCACCAGCTGCCACTGGGATGGAGTAACTGAGCTCCTGCGGGAGCGTGACAGAACATCACATCCGCGGCAGTGGAGAAATATCGACAGAGAAATGGAGCTCCTGCGGGAGCAGAGGAGATAATACCGCAGCCGTGCCAGCATGTTGGATGGAGAAATGGCACTTCTACCAGAAAGACTCGGGAGAGTACATACGCAGCCGACCCCCTGGGAGGTACAGGAAGGGACCATCCTGGTGGTGGCGGGGAGGATGAGGATGGAGGTGAATGTAAGCATCTGCAAACTCAAACATGTTTAATTACTGGTCTTTTATACCACAAGTACTAGACAAGATCGGATAGAAGGTAATAAGTGACGTAGCAATTGAGTCTTCCTGGCAGAACTGATGCTAAAGCTTGCATTTCTGTGGGAGCTGAGGTAGTACTGCTGCTTCGGCAGTCATGAGTGAAGTAGGTTCCTGCATGTGCAGGTGGATGTTACTACGGCTGTGAGAATGGAAATATATATATGGTTTGATGGAGTTAAAGTGGATAAGGTGCACCTGTGGTTGGGAACAAGCTGGTGTTAAAGACTTTAGCTTAGGAGAGTTAGTTGAGATTCTTTGATGTGGGAGCGATTTGATCGAATCCAGAAACTCCCCGATGACCAGCGTCGGAGATAAGTGCTTGGATCTGCTGCTGGGAAAGGCGTTTTGGGGCAGCTGGCTCTTTGACGATTGTTTTCAGCTGAGATCTCTTCAAGGACCATATACAAGCGCAATCTATCCATGACATTGCAATATATGCTATGTCTGCAAGCCCAGCGTGTGTCACTAAGTTGCTGGATCTCCCTTGATACACCATCACACATGTTCCGCTGCACTTCAAGACATTTCTGATGGATGAAAGATCCAGACAAAAAGACATCAATTCTTTCCAACAAAGAAAAGAAATGTCCAGCATCAGGCACACTTTTGATGGCATCTACCATGACCAGGTTGAGACGGTGTGTACTGCATTGTCCACATGAACTGCATGCTTGCCCCGACTCATTACAGCCCCATCATACCCCTGACCTTCCAGATTTTTCTTGTAGTCCAAACCATACTTTCCCAAACAGCTGGGTTTTCTCAGTTAACCCAGCAGCATCCAGCTTTTCTGACAGCTCTCACAAACTCTATCAAACCATTGTTATCACAGGACAATTGACATTTGCTCTTTCTTAATATCTTTAGTTTCATCTACGATAACAGAATAAATTGGTATTTTTTTCTAAAATACAAAATCTAAAATACAAAATAAAAATGGCATATATTCAAACGCTACAATATGAAGCAAACATTAGGCACCTAAAAGTTTATTTACAGCTATCTGAAATCTCTATCATTTTTAACAATTTTTTAACTTTTAACAATGCCTTTAGCCCTGTGCCATCCACTTCTTCTGACAGTGTGCCTGTAAAAATCTCATTTGAGGGGGAAATAATCCAATTTGGATGTAGTCTGAACAGCCTTTGTGAATTCACCCACTCATGTAATTTCAGCAATATAACATTTTAGCTCAAAAGTTGTTATATTGTGAATATATATTTAACGTACATTTCCATGAAATAGTTTTTTTTTTAATACACATTTTATATGTTAGTAGGCTAAATAGTTGGTGTTTGGTGGGTCTGGAAAAGAGGGAATTCAACTACTATTCTAACTCATTTCTGTGTGTAAAGGTCAAGCAGGTGATTGTTGATCTGACATTATTTTTCAATAATATTATGTTGCTGATGCTGATAATGATTGCGGGGGTGGGTTGATGAGTGAGCTGTACAGTGATCAGTGTAACTCATGTCATGTCCACCCCCTCCGAGGACTCCGCGCTGCCCCTTTATCTGCGCCCATAGCGAGCCCCGCACAGGCTGAGCACAGCACCGAGAGGAGGACCGCAGCCATGGCCGTGATGTTCTCCGCGCTCCACGTACTCTTTCTGTCGCAGCTGGTGACATCGGCACTCGCCCAGGTAAGAGATGCGGGACGAGCGACTAATAACCGGCCGCTTCGGCTCATTGCTTGGGATATCCATATTTAACGGGTCGCTGTATTGCTGCCTATAATAATATCCCGGCTGAGAACTTTAGCGCATATTGTGAATCTCAGTGGATAACGAGTTTGCATCATGTATGGAATTAATCACTCTTTCGTTTATAAACGCTTTTCAATAATTTGTGGACTGACTGTAAAAGTGCAGAGATTTCTACCTGACTCTTCAATATACTGTTGATGTAACTAAGTTAACGTCTTACATGAATAAATCTTATCATTAAGATGTTACAACGTGAGGAAAATAATCAGGTTACCTTACGAAACATTCTAGTTCACCGTGTAATGTGAGCGTCAACAATGGCATCTTTGTGAGAACTAGTGTTTGCCCACTTCACCCACCTCACTTCATTTCTGCTCGTCGTGTTGGTCTTTTTCTGCCTGAATGTTTGAAACTGCTTTATGGATCGTTTTTTGACCAGTTAGTATACACAGATAAACAGATTTATTTGGGGTTTTTAATTTGAGTCGGGTTGAGACAGGAGGGCAGTCTCACACTGAGATATGAGAACAAAACACCTGTGGCATTTCTTTCTTTTCTTTGTGTATTTGCTCATCTGATTGTCCTTCTTGATCGTGTGTGTGTTGCAGAGGCCGGGTCCTCGAGGCACTGTGGGGACGACGGGGCCACCGGGACCCCCAGGGAAAGATGGCATCGATGTGAGTTTACACACAGACACATTATATCTAGATTACATTCTCTTTATCGGTTTTTATTTGCTTCACATTTTAAGTAAGAAAAAAAACCTAAATATTTGTTTTTGACAGATTTAACAGATTTTCATTATGTGAATTAAATTGCTCTTAACAATATTCTTCACGAAAAATACTTAATTTTCTAAACACCACTGTATTGCAATGTATTAACTGTTTAGACAAGCCGTGAGTCCTTACAGACGTTTACTTGTTAAAAGAAAGACTCTCAGGAATTTACGCATGCAAACGATGAAAGCTGTGAATGTTTCCTTAGTAAACGAAAATCTGCTCAGCGCAGTGCAGTGACAGAGAGCCCATTCATTCAGCCTCAAACCAAACACACTCGTCTCGAGTTTCCCCGACCCCCTCCACACACTCCTCTGTGTTATTCAGCTTTCCTGACTGTAGATGTAGTTCTGACCCTGTGATCTCTGCAGGGGAAACCTGGCCCTCCTGGACTCCCCGGAAAGCCTGTGAGTATCTCCTGATCTCCTGTCAGATCTTCTGGTAGCGTATGAATGCTAGCTCTGCTTTAGATGGAGATGTGGAGACGTGTATCAGTAATGAGGCAGACTGTCATGTCATGTCTTCAGCCCGTCCAGCCGGAGCTCAGTGCATTATTCCCATGAAGCTTTTTTTGTGAAGATGCAAACATGTAAACATAAAATGGAGACGATGGTGATGTAAGATGGTGTTTGTGTTTGGATGGCAGGGCCCGAAAGGAAAAGCGGGTGGCCCTGGGGCCGCGGGGAGCCCGGGACTGCCTGGCCTTCCTGGTGTGGATGTAAGTCATGAAGCAACACAGCATTTCCAGCGGCACACACACACACACACACACGCTGGGGGATTCTTTAAACTCATTTATGTAAAGGAAATCATTTAAGCACTATAAGTGTTGTCGTCTGATCATGGAAACGTCCTGTCCTGTAGGGGTTGACCGGTCCGGACGGTCCAGCTGGTAAAGACGGGCCCCCAGGAGCAGCAGTGAGTAACTCTCAGTCTTTATGAGTGAAATAAAATGAGTCTCTCCACACCTGAACATAACCCGTTATGACTAAGGCACTTCTACTGTAGTATTTGTCTCTGGATCTCCTATTTAAGGGGGGGGGGGGGGTGTTATGCCCCTTGTTCAGGGTGTAATATCGGTCCACAGATCAGTTATTATAGCATGTCCAACTTCTTCTGGGTGTGAGCAAAAACAGGCCGTCATTGTGTGTACCTTTAAATGCAAATGAGCTGCTGCTCCCGCCCCTTTCCAGAAGAGGGCGGAGCCTTTACAGCTTACGCTTTGGATACTTCACACATTTGTAATGTTTATGTGGCCCAGACATAATATCAACAGGAGATAGAGCGAGGATATAAAATGGCGGACTAAGTTTCGGCTCACTCAGGGCGAGATCGATGCAGATCGTCACCACTCGTGGGCAGGGCCTGCACAATGTGATGCCACTCAGTGGGCGGGGCCTGTACAATGTGATGTCACTCAATGGGCGGGGCCCTCACAATGTGTTGACACTCAATGGGCGGGGCCTGTACAATGTGATGCCACTCGTGGGCAGGGCCTGCACAATGAGATGACACTCAATGGGCGGGGCCTGTACAATGTGATGCCACTCAATAGGCGGGGCCTGTACAGTGTGATCTCACTCGTGGGCACGGCCTCTATAATGTGATGCCACCCGTGGGCGGGGCCTGTACAATGTGATGCCAATTGGTGGGGCCTCTACAATGTGATGCTACTCAATGGGCGGGGCCTGTACAATGTGATGTCACTTAGGGGCGGGGCCTGTACAATGTGATATCACTCGCGGGTGGGGCCTGTATAACGTGATGTCACTCGTGGGCGGGGCCTCTACAATGTGATGTCACTTGTGGGCGGGGCCTGTACAATGTAATGCCACTCGTGGGCGGAGCCTGTACAATGTGATGCCATTGGTGGGCGGAGCCTGTACAATGTGACGTCACAATAGGGAGAAAACTAGAACAGGGTATTTATAGAGTCAAGTCACCTTTATTTATATTAAAATGCTTTTAACAATATAGATTGTTTCAAACGTTTATAGGCACTGTTATTGATATTGTTATAGATTGTTAATAGATCTCTACTTTTGATTTATAAAAAAAGTGAGTGGATTTTACTATTGTAGGCTGCTTGCTTACACACACTGTGTTCAAACACCACGCAAAAGTGAATTTTGCATAATAGGTCTTTTTAAAAACTCCTTTATAGGTGTGATTTTCCTTTTCCAACAACAACTTGTGTCCATAAGTCATGTGTTCATATTGTGTGCAGCCATAGCAGAGCCGTGGGCCGTTTTAATGAGGATCAGGTGACTTCAGATGAAGTCCTCTTAATCCAGCCTGGAATGTCAAGTCTTCTTCCCACCACAGGTTTTCTTGTAATTAGTTTGGTGGAATCAGCTAAAATCATCATCATCACTCTGTGTGGATAGCAGTGAGCTGTGAACCGGGAAGTTCACGTGATATTTTATAACAAAGAAAATGTGTTGCATAAATATGACATTAGCTGACTGACAGTGTTCATTACCGTGATGAAAAACTGTGATCCTAGCGGCGAGAGGCATACTGTTCATCAACCCAATATTGTGTAAAAAACGCATCAAATAGGGAGTTAAAAAGTAAGAAAGTAGTTGTCGCGTATGCAATATTACATCGGGAAATGTTTTGTTTATGACTTAAAGGGGTCCTATCATAGAAGAGTGTGTGTAAACAAACCCCTATAATGGTGAAATCATAAATCATTATCAATCTCTCAGAACAAGCTGTTTCCCCTCCCCCGAGTAACCCCAGAGTCCGGTCGGGACGAGGGGGCGGGCGACTCAAGTGGGCGGGGCAACACGTGTCGCTCTGCCCACATCTGATTTTATTGGTTTATAACACAAGAATCTTATTGACAATTTCTTTACGTACGAGACGAGTCTATATGAGTTTATGAATGATTGACAACGCTGTTTGGCCGTACTACAGAAATATTAAGTGATAACCATGGCGATTTCGGTAACAATTGGGTAATCTTTTGATGAGCTTGATGAAGTTACTGTCAAAATCTATTCGTATAGCGCTCAATTCACATAGTTTCAAAGCAGCTTTGCAAAAAGTCATATTGTAAGCTTTAATTTGGCTATTATTTTTTTTTGTAAGGCTAGACAATATCATGAAATATGTTGCTAATTTTACACCATTCGTTTATGCTTCTTCGTTTTTTCATTAGGATAAGTGAATAAACACAAACTCAGGATTTTACACAAATTATGATTATTCACCGTATTTCAGTAAAACATCGGATAAATCTGAAAGTTTGTTTTATTTTATTTTTAAGCTAAACCACTGTGATGAATAAGTAGGTTACCACACAAGCCCTGGCTGTGGGTTTTGAGCGTACAGTGGGAATAAAAACCCTGCTGTGCTGAAATGTGAAAATAAATAAAAAAACATTTTTTTACTAACACAGATGTTATTGTCGATCAGTTGCAAATATTGTTAATTATGTGCTCAAGAGCGGATTTAAGCAGAGATGTATAGTAACCAAGTAGAACTACTTAAGTACTAAAATTCTGTATCTGTACTCTACTAGAGTATTGTTTTTTTCTCACACTTCTACTTTTACTTCAATCGATATTTTACAGTAGATGAATTTAATACTTTTACTTCGATATTTTTTTAATGTTCTGCTAGTTACTCGTTACAATTATGAAAATTTTATTCATGCTGCCTAAATCGCACGCCAGTTTTATTGGGTAATGGTATTGATTGACACACACATTGACAACTAATGCAGGGGCGGCCGCCAAAGCAAATTTGTTTCCCGCCAAAGATTGCTTATTTGATTGCTAGTTCAAACTTTTGACTGCTTTCTTTAATAATTACATGACACAATACTTGTACTTTTACTTTTAGTACTTAAGTAGTTAATTTTAAAATAAACTACTTGCATTACTTAAGTACAAAAAATGTTGAATACTTTAGTACTTCTACTTAAGTGTGGTGCTTAAACTTCTACTCAAGTCTGGGTTTCTAGTACTTTATACATCTCTGTATTTAAGCAATAGCCTACATGTTCATATCACTTCTCTGCTGGGTATTTTATTTATTGTATTATATTATAATTGCCCAGATTTACAGTAGTGGGTGTTTATGGTTATGCAGCTAGTCTATATGTGTTAATATTTAAAAACATTTTATCCCGTAGCCTATGTATACGCATATTAAAACATGAACACAGAATAAATAATGCATTTTTAATATACCTGATGTCACTGTCACAGATAGTTGTACATGTTAACCGTTTGACACTTATTAGAAAATATGAATCTTTAAAAACTATAATATAGCTTTACAGAATCAATATAAAGGCCCTCATATTTTATTAACAGGTAAACAACAAGGAAACACGAGTTTGCCATTAAACATTGTATTTGCTCTTTGTACCAAATAATGCGAGCATTGGACAACAAATCTTGTTAAAAAATGACAACAAAAAACGGTCGTGCTTTAAATTTAAATCAGCTGCTTACATTCGTACAGTGAATTATTATCATCATTTGCGCTGATCCACCGATCCTGACACAAATATGAAGAGAACAAGTGAATGACGTGCTATTGTAAAACATCTCCCTGAAGCGTTCGTTTTTAAACAATAACTTCATCTATTCTGTGTCTTAAGCACAATAAAACATTAGCCAATAGATCTTAACTAAAGTTACCATGGTAAACCGATAATAAGATACGATTAAAGTTAGCATTTAAAATTTCTTTAATACAGCCAAATCATTCACAAAATCGGATATAAAGGACGCGCATTATTAGACCTGAATCGTCTACACCAGTAAGATTGCAGTATTATAAACCAAGTAATTTGGGGGTGGGCGGAGCGACATGTGTCGCCCCGCCCAAATGTGACTCCGGCACTCGTTTCTGGGTATTATTCAGAGAAATTCTCAAATGTTATGCTGTTCCAGTATCGGCGGATCAGCTGTCTCTGAACGGGCAGAGGCTCATTTGCATTTAAAGGGACACACACAATGGAGCATTTTCCCTCACACCCTAAAAGGGGCAACTTTGACAAGCTATAATACATGATCTGGCTGGTGTTTTGAGCTGAAACTTTACAGACACATTCTGAGGACATCAGAGACTTATATTACTTCCTGTGAAAATGGGCATAATAAACCACCTTTAGTTTACATACATTAAAGGAGTAGTTCACTTTTGAAAAAAACTTTTGCTGATAATTTACTCGCCCCCATGTCATCCAAGATGTCCATGTCTTTCGTTCCTCAGTCGAAAAGAAATTAAGGTTTTTGATGAAAACATTCCAGGATTTTCTCCATATAATGGACTTCAATGGGGTCCAAACGGTTCAAGGTCCAAAAGAAACTTTAAGTACAAACTGCAAACTTGTTCAAAGGGCTTTAAACGAGTTCAGACGATGAATAAGGGTCTTATCAAGCGAAACGATCGCTCATTTAATAAATAAATAACAAAGTTTAAGTTTTATAAGCTCAAATGCTCGCCTTGCTCTGTTCTGTAATGAGCGTGACTCTCCTGTTCGAACTCGTTCATCAAAATGAACAAATCTTTTTCTGAGTCATTTGGTTCATTCGGCGAAATAGACGAACAGATTGATTCGGAAAAAGATTTGTTCATTTTGTTGAACGAGTTCGAACAGGAGAGTCACGCTCATTACAGAACAGAGCAAGGCGAGCATTTGAGCTTATAAAACTTAAACTTTGTTATTTTTTAAAAAAAGGAGCGATCGTTTCGCTTGAAAAGACCCGTATTTATTGTCTGGAATCGTTTAAAGCCTGTTGAACAAGTTTGCAATTTGTACTTAAAGTTTCTTTTGGACCTTGAACCGTTTGGTCCCCATTAAAGTCCATTATATGGAGAAAATCCTGGAATGTTTTCATCAAAAACCTTCATTTCTTTTCGACTGAAGAAAGAAAGACATGGACATCTTGGGTGACATGGGGGTGAGTAAACTTTAAATCTACTACATCAGATAGACACAAAACATGTATTTCCTCATGTAACACAAGCAATCGAACCAAAATGATAAGTATAAGTTGATGCATTTAAGAGAAATAGACACACAGTCCAACATGGTAATAATTACTGTAACAAAACCATACAAAACTTCGACATACATCATGTGAACAATCCTACAGGCTGTTTTGAACAAATGTGCATAAATACCGTAGAGGTCTACAGAAGAACAAATATGTCATATCATTTCGGGATAGGCTATATTAGTGGATTCACTTCATTTTAATGTGCTTGTCTCTCGTGAAACTCTGCAATGTACCCATGATAAAAAACATATTCACATTGTGAATAGATGATATATATTGTGGGATTGGCTGCAAACCGCACAGTGGTCAGAAACCTTTGACAGTCACACTACTGCGTGAACACGAATACACACGAGTTTGGGGTGCGTCCATCATTGGGAAACGCAAACTGCTTCTGTCTTCGGTTTCGCAGCTGCCAACGGAGACTTAAAATTTTGTTGTTGCTTTTGTAGGGAGACCCAGGACCTCCCGGACCAGACGGACCCCCTGTATGTGCCCAGCATGAGTAAACCCACTGTAAACACAGACACTTCAATCACAGGATTCAAAGAACTTCTTCAGTCACACCACAATATATGATAGTCTCATTAACACCGTCATTTTCCCACGCATTCAAACCACCATCATTACTCACACTCTCAAAACATCATCAGTATGCAGTGTATAGTGTAATGATGCCCAGGGTTAGTGATGAGATGTGCTGTCTTGTCGTCCGCAGGGCAGAGGTAGACCAGGAGCTCTGGTGAGTACTCAGGAATTAGCCCAGAGATTCGGTCTGTTTGCACGCCCTCCGAGTTGTTTTATATACATTTATTATCCAGCATGGATCCTCAACAGATGTAAATGTGTGCAGCGTTTGCTCTTGTCTGATCTCAGGGTCTTGCTGGAGAGAACGGGCTTCCAGGTGGAGCGGGCCCTCAGGGGCCGCCGGTGAGTGCGCAAACACGTGTTGTCGTTCATTTGTAATGGATCTACTAGAACGCTGTCTACACTGCACAGTGGTCCGTGACGCTGGTCTGTGATTGGTTGTAGGGGCCGGAGGGTCTTCCAGGACTTCCTGGTCTTGCAGGCGTAGATGGACCTCCTGTAAGTACATCTAGTTTGAGTGCAGAAACACTTTATTTTATTTGAATAATCCAGTTTTATGTCTGTCATCCGCCTCCTTTTAGGGACTTCCAGGAACTCTTCCTGAAGGCAATGGAGATCTGCTGGTGAGTGTAACGTACACTGTGTGTCCAACCCTTACACAGGGTTGAGCGGTTATTGGGAGTGTTATCCCGTTTTCAACATACATCTTTATTTTAGCTTCCCTCAAAATCCCAATGACTAGGAAGAGCTTCTCATGTAGAAGGACACGTGTTTTTCTCTGCATGCAGATTGATTACATCATTGTCTCGTTTGCAGTGTCCGGCCATCTGTCCTCCGGGTCCTCCTGGACCGCCTGGGATGCCTGGATTCAAGGTACGTATGATGATGACACATCTGTCTCTCATTACAGAAGATATCACAGATTGCTGAGCTGCTTCTGCTTTCGTTTAGGGTCATACAGGTCATAAAGGAAGCAAGGGAGAGCTGGGGAAAGACGGAGAGAAGGTGAGCTTTTACCACCCTGGGAATACATGGAAACACTATTCCTCTTTGAGATTGAAAGCTGAAAACTGCTTGTTGTAATGTGTTTCTCTCGGTGTCTCTTCCCTCAGGGTGATCAGGGGCCGCCCGGTCCTCCGGGAACACCAGGGACAGTGGGATTACAGGTGGGAGAAACTCACACGCCTGTCCTTCAGCTACACTTACACTTGCCGTAGCAATGTCTTGAACATTTGGTGGTGATTTAAAGGGGATGAAGATAAAGATAGTATTGTAATCAATTTGAACCATATTTAAATAAATATGCACACAATGTGTCACATACCCATAAGGGCCGTGACACATTAATATAGACTACTGATACGGACAGATCTTCCCTGACACGCAGGCGCACACACACACACACACGCTCGTCAACCGTGGCCTGCAGTCGGCGACACAGTCAGCTTTCATCGCCGCTAGTTCTTGTGACGTCGGCTTGGTGTGTCATGGTCTTTAATCGAATGCCTAATATTATCAAGACGGCTCTGTTGATGTTTCTTGTCTCTCAGATTTGAATTACATTACATGAATTATGTAAATTATGGGCTATTATTCATTGGCAATAGTTTACATCATTAGTCTTTTAAGAATTCTTAAATACTGAATGCTTAGCTATTTACATGCTATTGATACTCTTTAACTGTTAAACTGAAGCATCGCTCTGGCATGCACACTCGTCCTCTGTGAACATTAGGCTCCGCCCTCTTTGATTTGATTGGATATCTCGCTGTTAGACCGCTGAGGCAGAGCAGCCTAAAAATGTAACTATTAAAAATATACACTCACCTAAAGGATTATTAGGAACACCTGTTCAATTTCTCATTAATGCAATTATCTAATCAACCAATCACATGGCAGTTGCTTCAGTGCATTTAGGGGTGTGGTCCTGCTCAAGACAATCTCCTGAACTCCAAACTGAATGTCAGAATGGGAAAGAAAGGTGATTTCAGCAGTTTTGAGCGTGGCGTGGTTGTTGGTGTCTGAGTATTTCACAATCTGCTCAGTTACTGGGATTTTCACACACAACCATTTCTAGGGTTTACAAAGAATGGAGTGAAAAGGGAAACACATCCAGTATGGGTCAGTCCTGTGGGCCAAAATGCCTTGTTGATGCGAGAGGTCAGAGGAGAATGGGCCGACTGATTCAAGCTGATAGAAGAGCAACTTTGACTGAAATAACCACTCGTTACAACCGAGGTATGCAGCAAAGACCCAACACACACAACCTTGAACAGCAGAAGACCCCACCGGGTACCACTCATCTCCACTACACATAGGAAAAAGAAGCCACAATTTGCAAGAGCTCACCAAAACTGGACAGTTGAAGACTGGAGAAATGTTGCCTGGTCTGATGAGTCTCGATTTCTGTTGTTCATTCAGATGGTAGAGTCAGAATTTGGTGTAAACAGAATGAGAACATGGATCATCATGCCTTGTTCCCACTGTGCAGGCTGGTGGTGGTGGTGTAATGGTGTGGGGATGTTTTCTTGGCACACTTTAGGCCCCTTAGTGCCAACTGGGCATCGTTTAAATGCCACGGCCTACCTGAGCATTGTTTCTGACCATGTCCATCCCTTTATGGCCACCATGTCCCCATCCTCTGATGGATACTTCCAGCAGGATAATGCTCCATGTCACAAAGCTGGAATCATTTCAAATGGTTTCTTGAACATGTCAATGAGTTGACTGTACTAAAATGGCCGCCACAGTCACCAGATCTCAACCCAATAGAGCATCTTTGGGATGTGGTGGAACGGGAGCTTCATCCCACAAATCTCCATCAACTGCAAGATGCTATCCTATCAATATGGGCCAACATTTCTGAAGAATGCTTTCAGCACCTTGTTGAATCAATGCCATGGAGAATTAAGGCAGTTCTGAAGGCGAAAGGGGGTCAAACACAGGATTCCTAATAATCCTTTAAGTGAGTGTATATAATCCTAACAACAGTAAATGGAGTGCTCCAGATCAGTGTTTTCCAACCTTCTTTTGTCCCATGACTCTCCCATGACTCTCCACTAAGCACTAAAATAACAAAATTGCACAAATATACATTGCTGCAAATGGCATATTAAAACTGGATATTATATTAAAAACAGTAATCACATTTAATGTGAAACGAGCTGGTAGGGCCACAGGTAGCTATATGATTTTGTTGTTGATGATGATAAAACAGCAAATTTAGCTACAGATCGATGCTGTTGGGCGGAAACCTCATATTTTGTTAATAATAACACACAGTGTCATCTGATTTGGGATTGTGGTTGTATATATGGTCAGACAGGTGCATGTGTCTTTATAATACTAAGATTTGATGAAAATCAAGCTCAGATGGAGCTGTGAGGTTTTAGACCAGAGGATGACAGAGATGTGTGTTTTGTCCATCACTGGAACTGTCTGTGAACTTCATTATGTGTTCATCAACTTACAGGTTGGACAGTTTACATGGGCGCTCAGTTTTTCTTGCCATTGAATGCATTTGGACACAATCTCATGATATAAAAGATGAAGTGCTATGCATAGTATAATTAAAAAAGTATATTGACTCAACTGGACTCAAATAAAAAAAAAATACTTTATACACAAACGCATGTATCAATACTATTAAAGCAGGATTTTCCCCTCAAAAGACGCATGTCGGTAAACTAGGAAATGAACTTGCGCTCCCTGGGCGGATCGGCGCAAAAAAGGAGGCGTGTTTCGGCGCAAACATTCCCTGGTGTTATTTTACACTTCCAGAAAACAATTGCGCCAATGACCAGAAAAAACCTGGTCTAAAGTCAGTGGCGCGTTGTTCATAATGCTATTTTAAGCGCGCATGCTTGACCATAATGTAGCGGGTGCACAACGCGCATACACTTTGATTCTCTCATCAACACAGATTCAGCAGTTTATATTTTTGCAAATCATACATTATAACAAGGAAATATATGAACACATGAGGGAAATCATTGTGGTGTCCATGAAGATGAAAACAAATGTAGGCCTACATCTAGCTTACAAATTTACCCAAATTTTTCAGGCTAATTGTAGTAATGACAGATCAGACCTGTTTGCCCAATAGTGGCAAGACACATATTTATGTAAGGACACCTGACAAATTAATTTGTCCGTCAAGAACCAGGAAAAAAAGACTGCGAAATTACTGGTAAAGCTGCCATAATAATATCAATCCGTCATGCAACATGCGCACCTGCTCTTAAAGGGTGTGTTGGATCTCGCTCTGATTGGTTTATTTCACGTTACGCCCAAACTACATCTATGAATAATGAAGCTACTCCAGACCAACCCCTTTTAAACTTGCGTCGGGCGCCGGTAAAATAGCAACAGCGCCGAGACCCGCCCACAAAGTTACTTGCGCTTCAGATTGTTAAAATAGAGCTCACAGTGTTTCTTGAGTAAAGAAAATGCTGTACTTGTTCAAACATCCGTTCTTTATCAGTTCTGCTGCTTCAACAGTGTCTGTGATGTGAAATGTGGTGCATTACTTTATTCAAACATAACCTCTACTGTGTGTTGTGGGAAATGTGTAATTTTAGGAGCTTGATTTTTCCTTCTCTTGTGTGCATTAAGGGCTCTCGAGGGCTGAGGGGTCAGCAGGGGCCCGGGGGACCAGTGGGAGACAGAGTAAGACCTCAGCAAACATCACACGACACGTGACCCCAACAATACATGCAGTCACACATAAGCAGAGTGATCTCCAAACTGCTTCTGTTTGTAGGGATTGCCTGGTTTCAGAGGAAAGCCTGGAATTGCTGGCGTCATTGGGAAAACCGTGAGTGTTTCTCAAAGTCTGCACATTATTCTCATGCATGTGTATGGTAGAGGCACAGTGAATCTCATCAGTAAAAGTGTGTGTGTGTCTTCTGGATAGGGTGATGCTGGTGAAAAGGGACCTCAAGGTTTCAGAGGGCCCAAAGGAGAGATAGTAGGAAAACTGTCATCATATTACTCATTACATGTAGTCACTTCTACTTCATGTTCTGTAATATTATCAATGTCAATCTCTCAATAGGGGAAGATCGGCCCCAAGGGAGTCCCTGGAGGTCCGGGACCTAAAGGCGAGCCTGTAAGGACATGTATTATTTGCTGTTATGATGAGCGTTAGATTTCCCCATAATAATGCTCTCTGTGGATCTTAGGGCATCCCAGGCCGGGATGGGAAGGATGGGACTCAAGGACTAGACGGTGAAAAGGTAAATGTTTTCTGCTCAGACTCATCTAGGCTTTCTTTCGCTGCGTCAAACGCAATGATGCTCATGGTGTGTGTGTGTGTGTGTGTCCATAGGGGGATGCTGGTAGACCTGGAGTCTCTGGAGAAAAAGGACCTAATGGTCTGCCTGTACGTATTATCATCCATTACACTGTTGAAAAGCTAAGCACACAGATTTAATATTAATCTGATAAAGGAAATATGAATAAGAGATGGTGTAGTTGATGTGATTCTTTTGTCATTCATGCTTGTTTTTAAGATCTGCAAAGGTTTAATTCACCTTAGGGTTGATCTGTTTGATAAGACCATTTGAGTGGTTCCTCAGATGTTAGTACCATTGTTCACTGTTTTTGTATCACTGTGCAACTCACAACGAGTGTGTGTGTGTGTGTGTGTGTGTGTATGTATAATCCAGGGTTTGCCAGGAAAAGCTGGAGCAAAAGGTGCCAAAGGAGGAGTGGTGAGTATATCAGTCTATTCACAACTTACCTGATGATAGTAAGGCGCTGTATGAAAATAAAATGTAATCAGTTTATGATTGTCAGAGATCTGTGTGAACTGAACCTGGTCTCTTAGATAAGAGAGATGTGCAATGCTGCTGTTGAACAGTTGATTTAAACCACTGCTTTAAATCATATTTTTACATGCAAATCATCAAAGTTCTAGCACAGAAACAATATTTTTTTTTTTATAGACAGAAATATGTTAAGATTCTTGCTTTATCAGCCAAAGTGGAACGTTTCGTTTTTTGAAACAACATAATGCTACGTTCACACCGGACGCGAATCGCGCGTCAAATTCGCGCCTGACGTGTCGAGTTTGACGCTTGACCACTTTGTGTTATTTTGCGTGTCAAGAGCAAAACTGGCGCACGTAAAAACAAAAGTTTGAAACGAAATTTACGCGCGTGATGCGCGTCAGAATCGAAATCCGTTGGCGGCCATTGTTTTTATGTCAACCGAGCATTCATCAAGAGAGTTACCGCTCTGTATTTACTCTGGAGAGCAGAACAGCGGCGTGGGGATCATCGTCGCCGTATATTTGTGTCCACCGGACCCTTCAGAGCCGAACCGTTTGGCGAGTTTCAGCATTTGCTCGCTCCAGGAGCTGCGCTGACTGACGGCCGCTGTCAGCGGTACTTCCGCCTGTCACGCGCCCAGTTTGATGACCTGTTGTCCCGCATCGGAGCGAGGATCACCCTCGCCCTCATCCATCTAATCTAGCTGTCATTTATTTTTGTTTTGATGATGAATAGAGCCAGCCTTCAAAAGTTATTAACCTGTCCTGTGATTTGTTTTCTCTCTCTCACGTCCAGACACGAAATTATGCACATATGTTGATTGTCTTTACAACATAATACTATTTTATATAATCTAGCTATGGAATGAATAACATTCAATACAAAATGAACATGTCTCATATATAGAAATAATGTTTTAAGTGATAAAACATTTGCTTTGTTGTGTATAATCCCACTAGTCATATTAACAAAATAATTTTTTCGAAGCATCCAGACACTTCACCACGTGAGCAAGCAGCTAGGCTCCTGATTGGTTAACGCGGCGCGAATTCACGCCAAAGTTCAGATTTTTCAACTCTGGCGGCAGACAAATGCACAAATGGCACATTCGCGCTTAACGCGCCAGACGCTCAATTCGCGCCATTCGCGCGAACGAGGCGTATTCGCGTCTTCCGCGCCGCGCTCCACGGCTCAGTCGCGCCGCAGGAATTTTTCACGTGCGTAAAGCGTCTTTGAATTGACTTAACATTGAAATTATTCGCGCCTGACACCCTATTCGCGTCCGGTGTGAACGTAGCATGAGGCATCCTGTTGTTTCTATATATCCATTCAATGTAAAATAATGATAAACCTTATTTAAAACACACAGAAATGACTTATTCATGAAAATGTCCCAATTAATGAATAGAATAATTGAAATAACAAAAAGTTGCGATTTCTCATCACTATTGACACACTGCAATTTTTTTTTCATCATTTCAAAATGTTGAAATAGGAGAAAGAAAGCTCTGTTCTTCTGTGTGAACCCGCACTAGATGGATGTGTTCGGCTCAGTTCACTCAATTGCAACTGCATCTTTTGCAGTGTATTGTGGGTGAAGCTCTTTTTATTCTCTTATTCCACTGCCCTGCATCTCGCTTTTAAACGCAAAAACATGTATTGTGTGAACGGCCCCTTATAGCCCCTCTCAGGTTGCGTATCTCCCGAGAAGGTGAACAGGACGTGACGTCTCGCTGTTATACGTCATCAGCTCTTCTGAGAAAAGAGCTGAGTTTAGTAAAGGAATATCCCTATCAAAGTATCCATCCAAAGGGGTGCCTACATCCCTATTTCAAAGCCCAGCAATTGTTGGGGAGGGCAGCAAACGAAAAAGAGGGACGCTTGCGGACTCCCCTTCATAACACCCTAAGGGTTTCCAACCAAGCAACCCATCTACTGGGGAGCAAACAATCCTATTCTTGACCTTAACATACAGGCGAATATCATAGAGAACATACTCTCAGGATATCAGAGCGAGACAGATGCCAAAGAGAGATCACCTCCACCCACAGCACTGAGCAGTGCCACTCTCATCCGGACCGAAACGCACCGGCACGCATGAGTAATCGAGCACTGCTCAGCGACAGAAGAGCATTTCAGATTCTATATAGCTGTAAAGCTGGAGAAGAAGGAAAACCTCGTCTGGATTTTCTCTCTGAGCCTATAAAGCAAGAGAACCACGAAACCCTTGTTTGAATCCTCTCTCCAAGCCGATAAAGAGGGAGGAGCAGGAAAACCTTGTCTCTGCTCTTTGGTCTAGTGTTTCTGTCTAAATGAATCAGACTGGAAGAACATCTGAGGTAGATTTGAATTTTAAATGGAATATAATTGAACTCTCCTTCTCCCTTCAGGGCAGTCCAGGAGAGATGGGAGAAGCAGGACCCTCTGGAGAGCCAGGTATACCTGTATGTATCTGACTCTTGCCCTGATATGAACCGTTTCTGTGGTAATGCATGCTGATGTTCAGCTACTGTTACTGTACTTCTGGATTCTGCATCTATAATTCGGTCATTTAGTAAGAAGGTATACGGCTATTGATACAGTGTGCAGTGCTCAGTTGATGGTCACTGAAGATGAGTACCCCCACAGGGCGAGATCGGCATCCCTGGAGAGAGAGGAGAAGCTGGACCCCGAGGAGTGGCTGTGAGTAACCCACCTGACACCCGTCGCCCCAGGCTTCACTAGGGCTGAGTCTAACATCCATTACAATTCTAGAATCGAATACTTGAGGTCGGGAATTGGATACTTGTACAATTTTTATTTCTAAATAAAATTTAAATCAATTATCGATTCCTTTGTGAGGATTTCAATATGAGTTTAAAGCATTCAAGCGCTGTTTTCTGTGCACATGCAGCTATACTGGATGTGTACAATAATATCAGCCTGATATTCCTGCAGCATCTCTATAATAACACTATAATCAAACAACACAAGACAGAAAATACACTCGCTTTTGACTGAATTGCTTTTAGTAGCTATAATTGTAATGTACATTTTATTTATAAAATACAGTGTTATTTCACAACAGTATTTTTACAGTTTCTCTTCCTGGAAATCTCAAAACTCTTTTGTTCAGTTGTGTCTATTTGTTGCGATTGCTAATTTGTTTTAGTTACAGATTGTTTACTTGTCTTTAATAATGGTTGAAATATATATGAGTTAGTATAGTTGTATTTTCTATGGTACTTTTAAACCACAGGTAAGTTCCTAGGTTTGATGTGATGCAGAGCTTTATAGAGGAGAACTGTCAGCTTTACTCATCACACATACAGTGGAATAGTCTGGAATTGCAGGATCTAAGCGCAGTATTATACGACTGCTCATTGTGAAGCTCAAGGCATGTGATAATGCTTTATCTGTCGGTGTACTAGGGTGGCGTTGGACTAGCTGGAAACACTGGACCCCAGGGTGTTAAAGGATTCCAGGTAAGCCGCATATGCTAATAATATTATAATATATTACTGTTTTTCACACAAATTACTGTTTTTCACACATATAACTGTTTCACACATATTACTGTTTCACACATATTACTGTTTTCACACTGTTTTCACACATATTACTGTTTAACACATATTACTGCTTTTCACATATTATTGTTCACACATATTACTGTTTCACACACATTATTGTTTTTCACACATATTACTGTTTTCACACTGTTTTCACACATATTACTGTTTAACACATATTACTGCTTTTCACATATTATTGTTCACACATATTACTGTTTCACACACATTATTGTTTTTCACACATATTACTGTTTTCACACATATTACTATTTCACACATATTACTGTTTCACACATATTATTGTTTTTCACACATATTACTGTTTTTCACACAAATTACTGTTTTTCACACATATAACTGTTTCACACATATTACTGTTTTCACACTGTTTTCACACATATTACTGTTTCACACATATTATTGTTTTTAACACGTATTACTGTTTCACACATATTACTGTTTTCACACTGTTTTCACATATGTTACTGTTTTCACACATATTACTGTTTCACACATATTACTGTTCCACACATATTACTGTTCACACACATTACTGTTTTTCACACATATTACTGTTTTCACACATATGACTGTTTCACACATGTTACTGTTTTCACACATCTTACTGTTTTCACACATATTACTGTTCACACAGATTACTGTTTTCACACATATGACTGTTTCACACATATTACGGTTTCACACATATTACTGTTTTCACACATATTACTGTTCACACATATTACTGTTTCACACATTTTACTGTTTTTCACACATATTACTGTTTCACACATATTACTGTTTTTCACACATTATTGTTCACACATATTACTGTTTCACACATATTACTTGTTCCACACATATTACTGTTCACACACATTACCGTTTTTCACACATATTACTGTTTTTCACTCATATGACTGTTTCACACATGTTACTGTTTTCACACATATTACTGTTTTCACACATATTACTGTTTCACACATATTACTGTTCCACACATATTACTGTTCACACACATTACCGTTTTTCACACATATTACTGTTTTTCACTCATATGACTGTTTCACACATGTTACTGTTTTCACACATATTACTGTTTTCACACATATTACTGTTCACACATATTACTGTTTTTCACACATATTACTGTTTCACACATGTTACTGTTTTCACACATGTTACTGTTTTCACACATATTACTGTTTTCACGCATATTACTGTTCACACACATTAATGTTTTTCACACACATGTTACTGTTTCACACATGTTACTGTTTTTCACATATTACCGTTTCACACATATTACTGTTTTTCACATATTACTGTTTTCACACTGTTTTCACACATATTACTGTTTTCACACTGTTTTCACACATATTACTGTTTAACACATTACTGCTTTTCACATATTATTGTTCACACATATTACTGTTTCACACACATTATTGTTTTTCACACATATTACTGTTTCACACATATTACTGTTTTCACACTGTTTTCACACATATTACTGTTTCACACATATTACTGTTTCACACATATTACTGTTTCACACATATTATTGTTTTTCACACATATTACTGTTTTTCACACAAATTACTGTTTTTCACACATATAACTGTTCCACACATATTACTGTTTTCACACTGTTTTCACACATATTACTGTTTCACACATATTACTGCTTTTCACATATTATTGTTCACACATATTACTGTTTCACACATATTATTGTTTTTAACACGTATTACTGTTTCACACATATTACTGTTTTCACACTGTTTTCACATATGTTACTGTTTTCACACATATTACTGTTTCACACATATTACTGTTCCACACATATTACTGTTCACACACATTACTGTTTTTCACACATATTACTGTTTTCACACATATGACTGTTTCACACATGTTACTGTTTTCACACATCTTACTGTTTTTCACACATTACTGTTCACACATATTACTGTTTCACACATTACTGTTCACACATATGACTGTTTCACACATGTTACTGTTTTCACACATCTTACTGTTTTTCACACATTACTGTTCACACATATTACTGTTTCACACATTACTGTTCACACAGGTTACTGTTTTCACACATATCACTGTTTTCACACATATTACTGTTCACACACATTAATGTTTTTCACACATATTACTGTTTTTCACACATGTTACTGTTTCACACATGTTACTGTTTTTCACACATGTTACTGTTTTTCACACATATTACTGTTTTTCACACATATTACTGTTTTTCACACATATTACTGTTCACACATATTACTGTTCACACACATTAATGTTTTTCACACACATTAATGTTTTTCACACATATTACTGTTTTCACACATATTACTGTTTTCACACATGACTGTTTCACACATATTACTGTTTTCACACATATTACTGTTCACACATATTACTGTTTTCACACATATTACCGTTTCACACATATTACCGTTTCACACATAACTGTTTTACATATTACTGTTTTCACACATATGACTGTTTTCTAATGTTTTCACACATATTACCGTTTCACACATATTACCGTTTCACACATATTACTGTTCACACATAACTGTTTTACATATTACTGTTTTTACACATATGACTGTTTTCACACATATGACTGTTTTCACACATATTACCGTTTCACACATATTACCGTTTCACACATATTACTGTTTTCACACATATTACTGTTCACACATATTACTGTTTCACACATATTACTGTTTTCACACATATTACAGTTTTCACACATATTACTGTTTTCACACATAACTGTTTTACATATTACTGTTTTCACACATATTACTGTTTTCACACATATTCCTGTTCACACATATTCTTGTTCACACATATTCCTGTTCACACATATTACAGTTTCACACATATTACTGTTTTCACACATATTACTGTTTCACACATGTGATATGGCCGTGTCTGTATGTGAATTGTACGCCATTGAAAACGCATGACATCAGAATGACATCAGCTCAGGTGACATGACCCTCAAATGACCCATACATGACCTTTTTATTAAGGAATAATTGAACAATTGATAGATGTGATTAAAATGTCACACTTGGTCTCCCCCTGTAGGGTGTTAAAGGAGCGCTGGGCGACCCGGGGCTGCCGGGGCCCACGGGCATCAGAGGCGGGTTTGGCGAGAGGGTGAGTTTGATGAATCTGTGTGACCTGAGCTCTGCACACAGAGAAACACCTGTTTCCTGCACACACACGTTCACTCGCGTGTCTCTCTCTCTCTCAGGGTCCCACTGGAGCTGGAGGGCCTAAAGGAGATATGGTAAGAGTGCAGACTGTATGAAGGAGAGGCCTGTATGATGAGAAGCTGTGAACCGATGTGTGTGTTCCTCTGCTGGTGTGTTTTAGGGAGTTGCTGGGAGTGATGGTCTGCCAGGGGAGAACGGGGAGCCGGTACGTTACTCTTTCACATGAATGTCTCAATTGTCTTCTGTTCATTTCCACTCAACGTCAGCACGTCTGAGACTCTCTCCTCTTTTCCAGGGTCCGTACGGCCCCGTCGGCCAGAAAGGAGAGGTGAGCGCTTGGTTATATTTGCTGGTTCAATTTTTTCTTTAAATCCAGAATATAATGATTTCCAATCTTTTTTATTTCATCTTCCTTTATATATTTGACTGTATTTTCATTGACGTTGTCACCACACTCCTCAGCTGTGATAAAGGCGGCTGTGAATAAAAGAAAAGAGAGCGACAGCCACAATGCATTGTGGTTAAATGCGGTAGATTGTCCTGGTATTTAGTTAGGAGTGTAACTATACATCGTTAGATCGCAATATATAATGCGACGATATGTATCGATGATGTAAACGACATGTTCGCGATATAATAGAGAAAACTCAGCTGATTGTATTTATATATATTGTATTATGTATAATTCACCCACACACGTAACTGGACATGAGTGTGAGTTAATGAAGAGATCATTTTCCTTAATGGATGAAGAAATAGTCTGGAATCATCATGTTGACACGATTTGCGATTAAATCGTCTGAAGCACACAGGGTCGACCCAACAGGACCCGTGAGGACTGTTCTTTCAGGCGTGAATAAACCGACTGCTAAACGAATAAACCTTAAGCGTGTAAAGATATGGCAAGTTCTTGATGGACTATTTAGTGTCGAATCCAACCTACTGTATGAAGATGATTGTATAGTGACTGTAACACTCTGGATGAGACGTAAAGCGCGGTCCGGACTGTGGTCTGGCCACATCCCCTGGACCCAATGGAATTGTATTTTGCTACCTGAGGACAATCATCCCCGTCTCCTCCGTGTTACAGGCCGGCAAGCGAGGGGAACTGGGAGCCAAAGGAGTTGTGGGACCCCAGGGAGAGACTGGAGCCAGAGGGGCTCCTGGGAAACCGGGACCAATGGGATTCCAGGGAGAACAGGGTTTCCCAGGCGTCTCGGGCAAGACTGGTGTTCCTGTACGTAACTGCCTCAGCATGTGCTGGTACTGGCCTACAGACCCGGAATGTGTGTTGTGATGACTGTTGTGGTTGTGTTGCAGGGCAAACTGAGCAGTGAGCAGCACATCAGGGAACTGTGTGGCTCCATGATCGATGGTACAAGCCTTACACTTCCCAGACTGCATTCATGAACAGCTTCACAATGCAACTGGTGTTAAATCTGCTCACATTCCCTCAGACCAGATCGCTCAGCTCGCTGCGAACCTGAGGAGACCCCTGGCCCCTGGCGCCGTGGGACGGCCTGGACCCGCCGGGCCCCCGGGACAGCAAGGAGAGGCGGGATCCATCGGGCACCCCGGACCCCTCGGCCCGCCGGGCTACAGAGGACTGCCAGGAGACCTGGGAGATCCCGGCCCTCGAGGTGAGAGCCTGAGCGCGGTCACGGCCGGGAACACGTCAGCCTCCTGAGTCTCCTTTATGTGTACAAAACACACAGATAAACAGAGCTAGGCTATTACCCTAGTTACCCTCAATCCACAACAAATCTTTGACATGTAAAGGTATTCAGGACAGAACAAGAATGAAAAGCATACGCTATATACAGTGTTGGGTAATTTAATTACTTTTCCATTGAAAATGTAAAGTAAGGGATTACTCTTCATTTATCTGTAATTTAATTACAGTTACTTCTGATGTAATCGAGGTAAATACTGTGTATAGATCGATCCGATCTCACAGCGATTCGTATGCATCTTATGAGGTGTCTAAATATTACGACCGCACTCGAATTATTGTAAAATATGTATGAAAAAAGTGTGAAATGTCATGATCAGACATAAAACAATAGTGGGTTTTAACATCAAAATGTATCGTCTGATGCTAAAAACTAAAAAGTATGTTTTTTTATAATGTAACCTTCTCCACCTTGGTCAGTTTAAGGATAATTCATGCAATTTTATAGTATTTATTTGAAAGAATTAAGACAGATTCATGTATATCCTTGTATTATTCAGCTGGTTGAGATTGATATGGGATTTTGAAAGTAATTAGTAATTAAAAGTAATTAAATACTTTTTAGAGAGAGTAATTAGTAGAGTAATCTAATTACACTGCTGAAGAGGTAATTAGTAACTAGTAATTAATTACTTTTTTAGAGTAACTTACCCAACACTGGCTATATATAGGGTCACGCCAGGAGATCAGGCTCGACTGAAGCAGGATTGGCTCTGGCAGGACTGCTCTCTCATTGGGCACACACACAAATGTTTCCATACACATTTATTTTAAACTCACCCACATTCAAGAGTTAGTAAAAAGACAGCATGAAGCTAGAAGAAAATGTTTGTTTGTTTTTGTTATAAAGCAGATACTCTGTTCTTTCTTTTGATATATTGCATGTTCAGATACTCATACAACACAATATTCTGTGCCGTGACACTGCTGTTTTCTGAAGCACTGGCGGGACAGTTAACATTAATATTGAATGCTTTAGAATTACTTCTCAGTGTTAGTTGATGTTAACTAATGCTAATAATGTGCATGTTACTGTAAAGTGTTGGCAGTATTTCCTCACTGCGCCTACAGAACCTTTTTCAAGCAGAGTATACTTTAAAAACAGTGTATCACTGCATGTGTCTGAATACAGGAACAGTGTGATATCTGAACATGAGTTCACATACTATAACTATCTGTGCATCTGCCTTGTGCAGGGGATGTTGGAGAGCCGGGCGATAAGGGGCCCGTGGGGAAAGCCATCGAAGGGCCCGTCGGAGACCAGGGGGAACCGGGTGAGTACACGAGCGGGACTGCAGACGGAAACCTGCTCTTCTCTCAGTGGAGCGGGGCTAAAACACACACACAC